TGGGGGGGGACGGGAGAGAGAGAAAAGAGAGAGGCCAGATGAGTGCAACAAAAACCAAATTTGCAACAGAAGGAAAAGCAGCAAACAAAGCCGGCCCAGGGCGGGGCGAGGGACGGGGGGGGGACGGGAGAGAGAGAAAAGAGAGAGGCCAGATGAGTGCAACAAAAACCAAATTTGCAACAGAAGGAAAAGCAGCAAACAAAGCCGGCCCAGATGATTGCTTCTCCTAGCCCCACCCACTTTTCTTAGCCCCTCCCCTTCTCTTAGCCCCGCCCACAGCACCACGCTGGCACCTCGCGTCCTGGGGGTATCTGCTGGCATGGCTGTTGGGTGGAGATGCCTGTGTGGGGGTCTGTACAGCTGTGTGTGTGTGTACATGCTGGCTGTGTGTACGTGCATGTGTGACGTGGGTATGGCTGTGCGCGCATGCACACACGACAGCGGTGTGTGCGTGTGTACATGTGGGCGGATGTGGGTAACAAGAGCTGTAGGGCGTGTGCACGTGTGTACACAAACGTGTGTGTGTCGGCATGCGGGGATGGCCCTGAGCGTGGGTGTACATTAGGGCTGTGTGTGCAGATGTGGGTACGACTGTGTGTGTACACGATGGCTGTGTGTCTATGCATGTATGGATGTGGGTACACAATAGCTTTGTGTGTGCTGTAGGTGCAGCTGTGTGCACGGCTGTGTGTGTGTGTACACGATGGCCATGTGTCTATGTATGTATGGATGTGGGTACACAATAGCTCCGTGTGTGGCTGTGTGCATGGCTCTGTGTGTGTGTGTGTGTGTGTGTGTGTACACGATGCCCGTATGTCTATGCACGTATGGACGTGGGTACACACTAGCTCTGTGTGTGTCATACGTGCGGCTGTGTGCACGGCTGTGTGTGTGTGTGTGTGTGTGTGTGTGTGTGTGTACACGATGCCCGTGTGTCTATGCACGTATGGACGTGGGTACACACTAGCTCTGTGTGTGCTGTACATGCGGCTGTGTGCACACCTGTGTGCGCCCGTGGTGGTTCTGTGTTTGCATAAACAGACGGGTGTAACCCTCGGCCAGACCCCATGGCCGTCCCCTGGCCCCACACCAGTGCTGGGGGTGCCCCATTGAATCCCCTGGATGCACTAATAAGCCCCCAGCGGGAGCCGACAGAGACCCGACGCACCCCAGGCAGCAGAGGGCAGCAGGGCCGAGGACCGGGCTTGGGGGAGCCTTGCAGGACGGGACCCCCCCACCCCACCCCAGCCCCTCACCTCGTTCTCGGAGGAGCTGGCCGACAGGAAGACCTCGCAGGCGTCGAAGAACTCGGTGTGTGAGTCGGCGAGCGAGACGATGCTGCGGTTGGACAGCTGCTGCTCCCGGCACTTGGCCGGCAGGGGGTCGGGCTGCCGGGGGAG